TCATATATTTTAAAGTCAAAAGCTATAAATAAGGGAGTAATATTAGGAATAATATTAATTATATTTAATGATTTTTTAAAAAAAAATCTAAGCATAAATGAATTTTAAAATCAAAAGCTATAAATAATGGAGTAAAATTAATAATAATAACGGTTATATTTACTGATTTCTTTTCTTTTTAAAGCTAAACATAAATGAATTTTAAAGTCAAAAGCTATAAATATGAGAGTAAAATTAGGAGAATATAAATTATATTAATTGATTTTTTTTAAAAAAAAATCTAAGCGCGAATGAATTTTAGCATTGCCACGTAACATCATTAGATAGCTTAATACTCTAGAAAGATGTCATTTAATACAAAGTCATTTTTATTTATTACGTAGTATAGATTCATACGATTACAAATATATTTGGATTTTTCATCTAAAAATATAGTTAAAAACAAATTCAATAAAATTACAAAACAATATTGTGATTTATTTATTTATGAATAGAATTGTCTAAACCAAGTGATAAAAAACATTAAACTTTATTTTTGTTATTTTGAGAGAAAAAATTATAAAAATCATATTTATATTCCACTAATAAGAATAAAAAAATCTTTTATTTTTTTAGGTAATTACAATCATTATGGAAAGATTTTAGGAAAATTTTGTTTAACTTTAGTACGTTACAATTTAATTGAAGTACAAAATTACTAATTTACCTTTATAAAATGATTGGTTCAAAAGTGTTCTTGCGTTCTCAACTTTTTTGTATTATCGTTTTAACACATCTCTCTCTCACTCTCATATATATATATATATATATATATATATATATATATATATATATATATATATATATATATATATTACCGTTTTTGTCACCTTAAATTTCTTAGTTGTGTTATGATGTCCTTTTCTCAATTCACCTAATACATGCATTATTCCGATTAAATTAAAGGGATGATGGTTGATAAGGGTAACATAGTTTTGCTTTTGTACACATTTAGTCACTTATTTTTTTTGGTACACATATGACCATTAAAATTATTTGGATTGTTCAAGAAATACTTATGATCGACTAGTGTATGTTTTCAGGCTAATAATGTTTTGCTTTTGTTCACATTTAGTAACTTATGTTCAAGAAATACTTATAACCGTGTGTGGGTGGCTGTGTGTGTGTTTTGGTGTGTGTAAATGATGTATAGTTTGTGTATGTGTTTGGTTGTTGGAATTATCTCTCGAGCTGCCACTGTGAGGTGGTGGCTGCCGCCGTGAGCCGTCGTTGACCTCCACTGCCCGAGGTGGTAGTGGGTGGTGCCCGACTTAATAAACGCTAACTAACCTAAAAGCCTAATCTGGAACCTAGTTGGCACATAATTCAGTTGGAAACCCTAATTAGGGTTTAGAAAACCCTAATGTCAAGAAACCTTAGTTTTAGAATAGGTCGGGACCCGCGTTTTGGACCGTTGGAATTGGAATTTTGAATTATGCCTGACCACATTGTATGATTGACCTAGTGGAGTGATGAACTTAATGGAATAAGTCCTTAATGGGTTAAGTGTTTTTACTTAACCCTAATCGTCATTTTATGTGAAAACCCTAATCATGTTTGGGCTTTGATTTGGGCCTTTCTTTTGGGCTTAGGTGTTTGTGTTTGGGTCCTTGTTGGGCCATTTGAGAACAAGTGTATGGACTAGGATTTTTTGGATGAACTTTAGGGTAAGGCCATGTAAGGGGTTTGGGCCCAATTTGGAAAATCGGGCCTTGGTTGATTATTTAGCTTTTTGGCCTCCAGAGTTTGAGCTTGGGCCTTGGTCTTGGACCAAGCTAGGTTAGGGGTAAAATAGTCTTTTTACCTTAAGTATGGATTTAGGGTTATGTATTGGAACCCAATTGTTAATTGGGTGTTGTTGACAGTTCAGAAATCTGTCAGCCAGGAGCCAGGGATCGTCTGTGTGATTCAGCAGTGCGAGGTGAGTCTCTTCACTGTATTTAGCGGGTCGAAGGCAACAATGCTGACCCATAGTATGTTATGCTTAGTATGCTTGTTTTCTTCGTGACTCTTGCATGTGTTATGTATTTTATGTTTACCGAGCGGGGCTCGATGCTAGGCGGGGCCTGATGAGTATCTTGTATGCTAGTTATCAGTATATGTTTTTATGATTACCGGATACGACCCGATGACCGGTATGTATGCTATTTATCTCTGTGATTTTGGCATGTGTTGTGTGTTATATGTTTATGTGTGTTTATATGTTTACATGTTTTATGTTTATATGTATACCGGGCGGGGCCTGATGACTTACAGATCTGTATACTTGGCGGGGCCCGATGTCGGACGGGGTCCGAAGCCGGGCGGGGCCCACTATATGTTATTGTATGTTTGGTATGTGGCATGTTGGGGAACTCACTAAGCTTTGTGCTTACGGTTTCTAGTTTATGTTTTAGGTACTTCGGTTTTCAAAAGGAAGAGCCCATGATGATTGCAGAGCACGCACCACATGTTTCCACATTTCGTGAATTACGCTGATTTAATGATTTTTTGATAAATCTTGATTAACTTGGTTTGTGGACATGATATGTATTAACGATTTATTAATCTAGAAACGAAAATTTTATGTCATTATTTTTGGGATGTTACATGTTTAGCTACTTATGTTTGTCTTTTGTACACATTTAGTCACTTATGTTTTTTAGTGTTCCATTTTTTTTTTCAAAAATAGCAAAAGCTATGTGTTGATTGTTGGAGAAAATTTACCCCTCTATTCTAATCCATCAAACTTTGTTTCATTATGGTAAGGTTTTATGGATCTGTTTTGGTTACCATAAACTTTGGAATCTAGCTTGCTTGGTGGAGGAAACTTCTACAAAAATAAGTGGCATAATTCATCAATTATCAATCAAACTAATGAAAAATTATTAGCAATAGAAATTGATACCTAAATATTCTAAGCCAAATGAGCTTACTTTGAGTACACAAATGCTAACATGTAGAGCCTCAAACTTAGAGACAATGAATTGACTAATTAGCTTCAATCCAAAACCAAGAAAGTCAGACAAACTTCATATGCCTAAATCTTTCATCTCTTGGAACACATATGTTTAAGTTATTAATAAGTGCAAGTTTGGTCTCAATTTTAGGATCTGTCAAAAACAAAAGCTCTATTAACAACTCCTAAACATCATTTGAATAATAAAAACAAACCTTAATTCTAAAAATCAATCATATCTTAAACTTGGTTCGATTGGTGGTCTTCTTGTTCTACCCCTATGAGGATAAGGGTACTTAGATGACCTTCCAAGAACTGGTTGTACATCATCTATGTCATAATCAGGATCTACCAAATCATTATAAAATTCATAATCATAAACCTTGTCATATTCTTTAAACTCCCTGGATCCATTACCTCTCGATATAACCAATTCTTTTTCTATATATAGACTTAGTAACTTGGATTTTTTCAAATGAACACATGAAAATATGAACTCTTGTTTTTTACTAGATGATCACATTAACTCGATTGTTGAACTTCTAGAAAAATCAAACACATGATGAGTGACTAAATGTGTACAAAAACAAAACACAAGTGACTAAATATGTACAAAAACAAAACATAAGCGACTAAATGTGTACAAAATCAAAACATCATTGACCTAAAAACATACATCGGTCGGTCATAATGATATTTTGTGAATAATCCAAACAAGTTCAATGGTCGTATGTGTACAAGAAAACACATAAGTGACTAAATGTGTACATAAACAAAACTACTAAACAATTCATTAACTATAAATTAAAAGAAAGCAATGTATATATATATATATATATATATATATATATATATATATATATATATATATATATATATATATATATATATATATATATATATATATATATAGTAATAGACTAATGGGTTGTTTGCTAACCCTCTTAGTCGTTCCATTAAGAGGCGACCTATTAATCAACATTAATAATGTCTGGTAACCACATTTTTAACTTTGATTAAATAAGATGGTCTAATTTTCCACCACTACCCTCGTAACCTCAACATCACTTAAGCATTTTTCATAGCTCTAATTAGGTAGATTGTTCAAAGTAGTATGTGTAGATTAATATTTGTATGAAGTACATCATAATCAATATTAAATTTTCATTTCGAAACTATTACTTTGACCCAATTATCAAAATAGTTTTTTTCCTTATATTTCTTTTTTTTAAGAATGCCGCCTCCCACAATAGTTATCGACGACACCCTCTTCCTTCCTCTGACACATGCGTTCCCATGTCCCATATTTAGAACATTGTGACCTTGAACTTTCGTCACCTTTTTCTCTGTTGAACATCGTGACCCCAAATCTTATAACATGCATGTTTATCTTTCTCTAAATATGACTGTTGATATCTCTCGATACTCTTTCCTTTTAAAAAAAACCATTTCTACCAATGGTAAGTTGCATACCGAAGATCAAGTTCTGGGTTTTAGTATTTATTTATTTTCTTTTGTATGTTGTTGTTGTTGAGAGAGATGGATCTGAACAAAGTTGTGAGAATAAATTAAACTAAGACGTAAAGTTGCTTACATTTTTAGGGGATAATTTGTTTCTCTTTAATTGCTTCTTGTATTGTTAAATTAACAAATAGCCAATGAGTATAGTAGCTATATCGTGAAGATGAAATGAGTGAAATACTTGTTTGTCTTGTTAATAATAAAATAAAATGAAGACATGCATTTTGGATAATAAATAAAAAATAAACTTTATATAATTATTATTATTTACATTATTGTTATTTATAATATACTTTTAGTAATAATAATAATAAATCAAATAGATTAAATAATATTAAAAAAACAATCAAAAATAAAATAGACTAAAGAAAAAAAAAACAACTAAAAACAAAAACTAAAAAATATTCAATTAATAATGAAACTGATATTTATAGAATTACCATATTTAATTTTTCATAAATAAATTAAAAACTGTTAATTTTGGCAAAATCTGCTTTAAATTATACTATAACCGTTTGGAACGTGAAATCGAAATGGATAGGTCGGTGGCGTTATATATAGATACGTTCTTCACTCGTCCAGATATCAACAAACCAAACCCATAGTCCAAACATCGCCGTCCTCCGCCGGAGATATACAAAACCATCGTTTCAGAATCAGATACACATAACTTTGTTTGTTTCACTCTTCCGCCATTCTGTTATCGAAAGATCCAAACACTCCATGAAATTATCAACATCTCTGTAAGCTTTCATTCTTATTGTCTTTTCTATTCTTTATTTTTTTTTATCGGAGATCTGTAGGGTTTTTTGCTATTTGGTTGTCAACAATTACAGCTAGTTAACACATTAGGGTTTCGATTCAACAACCCCTAATACCTTTTTTGAGGATGTGGGTTTGTGCAGATCTATCGTTTCCCAGTACTTAGATTTCAATGTTTCAATAATGGCAAAGTTTGAAAAATAGCAAGCTGTAGTATATACAAATAAAAGCTGGATTAGGGGTTTTTGTGGTTTTGTTTTGGATTGTAAAATATTGGCCAGATTTGGTATTATTGGTTTTACAAATTTCTACTCTAGTACGATTTCAGATCTTAATTTATAGCATTTTTGAAAAGATTTATGGTATCATTAAAGCAAATACTCTACTAAACATAGCAAAGCCCTAGGATATTCCATAAAGGTAGAGTTTAGATTAGCGATTAATACTTTTGTTTATTATTAATTTATAATTTATAATGAATCTAATTTTTATTTTTTTTGGTGACACAGAATGTGCATCTATCTGAAACAAACGCCCCTCAAGAGAAATGATTTTGCAAGCATCACAAAAACACTCTATGAAGTGTGTGGTACAACATTTAGGAGTTGATCTAATAGATTAGATAGCAAAATGTTGTATTCGCATTGTTTATAATCCAGATAAATGCGATCTTGTTGCATCTGCTATATGCAATAAGATAACATGTATCTAGCACATGCAACAAGGTCACATTTATCAGGATTATATACAATCTAAATGCAATGTATTGCTATCTACTCTATTGTATCAACTCCTAAAACTCTATTCACTACAAAACTTTTCTACAACTATATCAAATCCTGGAATCCTGTTTGAATAGCTTTGGTGTATAAAGAGCGTATGATTTCAACACAAAAGGCTTCAAAGACTAACCAAACCAAACTGTTATTGTTTGTGAAAAGGTAATTATAATTGTAGTAAATTACATTTTTGGTCCCTGAGTTTATTTGATCTTTTCCTTGGTTCCTAAAGGAGCCAGGTTGCAATTTTGGTTCTTATATTACTATTTTACAGTGATTTTGGTCCCTGGTTGCCGAAGTTAACAACCTAGATGTTATTTTTTTTAAATTAACCATTGTGGCATTGGACCAAAACTGAAAAAACAGTATACCACAGTGATCAAATTTATAATTTTCTTTTATTCACCAAAACACCTTGCGGTTGGTGCATATATAATGTTGTTAAAAATAAGAAGTTTTTAACAAAATAATATATTTTAAAATTGTATGTGTGTTTTGTTCGGATATAACGTTGTTAAATATAGAATATATACATACAACATGCCATAAATAAGAACCACAATAGATGCTATTTTACTTTACTAACTAAGAAGTAAGAACATGTTTACAAAATCAACTAAGAAGTACATGCTCTGGTATCCTCTAAACCTAGAGAGAATAAACAAATCTACAAAGTCTCCTACTGATTTAATTTGTAAAGTTGCCATATACCTTTGTTTATGTTTTTCTACTTGTATCATTTATTATCATCTAAACCATCTTCTTTTGGTGGCTATTTGATAGGATAACCGGAGCAGTGTGCAAGGTATTAAACCAAATTTTATTTTGCTTATAACTCAATTTACATGCAAAATGTCTAATAGGGTAATAGTGGAAAAGCCTTTCCATATTGTCTCATGTGATTGAATGTTATTTAGAAGCGATGAATGAGAACTTATGGGTTGTTTCTTTTTATATCCCATTACGTCTTTGTAAGGGTAAAGTTAACAAATATGTAAATATAGTTTTAACCTAGTAATTAGTGTTGCAAAAGTCGTCAGGCGGTCCCAAAGAATGCCAACATAAAACACTTTATTCGGTTTAGGCGGATAGTATTCGGGGAGTATTCGGATACGGTAAATTATAAAGCAGTTAATTTTGGGGAAATTATCTATATAGAAAATAAGTTAATTAAAATTTATAACAAAATAGGTAAATATCATAAGTTCATTAAAAGTTGAAGTGTTAAACTACTCAAAAATTGAGATTCATTTGTTAATATTAGAGTAATCATCTAATCTCCGTCTTTCAAGTTAGCTCCGTGTTGTTCATTGATGTTAAGTCCATCCGATTCATATTCAACTTCTTCATTCATTTCCCCTTCATCCTCGGACACAAATTCTTCCTCATCAAGTTTTCTCAATCTGGAACTTCTTCGATTTTGTAAAGATTCATCATCTCCCATGTTTTCACTGATTGCATCAACTTCATCAACGATATCACCCTCAACAATCCAATCTTGAGCTTCACTTACATCATTCGCTTTTACTACCTTCATATCCTTTGTTTTTTCTTTTTTTTTTGTTCTTTTCCATCAAATTTGCATTAAATTGCACAAAATCAAAATTGTTCAATTTAGTCGTCTTTAATCTATTTATTTTCTTTGTATGTACCTACACAATAAAATTAAAAAAACATTTAATAAATAATTAAATATATGATTTCTTAAATTGAATTATATAACAATTATAGACTTCTAGTAAACAAAATAGTTAATTACTAACCCCTCCAAAAATGCTCCAATTTCTTTCACATCCGGACAAACTAGTTGGTGAAAGAATTGAAGCACTTTTGAAGGGGTTAGTAATTAACTATTTTTTTACTAGAAGTCTATAGTTGTTATATAATTCAATTTAACAAATCATATATTTAATTATTTTTTACATGTTTTTTTTTTAGTTTTATTGTGTAGGTACATAGAAAGAAAAGAAATAGACTAGAAACGACTAAATTGAACATTTTTTTGTGCAATTTAATGCAAATTTGATGGAAAAAAACAAAAAAAGAAAAAACGAAGGATATGAAGGTAGTAAAAGCGAATAATGCAAGTGAGGCTCAAGATTAGATTGTTGAATGTGATATCGTTGATGCGATCATTGAAGACATCGGAGATGATGAATCTTTACAAAATCGAAGAAGTTCTAGATTCAGAGAACTTGATGAGGAAGAATTTGTGTCCGAGGATGAAGGGGAAATGAATGAAGAAGTTGAATATGAATCGGATGGACTTAACATCAATGAACAACACTGAGCTAACTTGAATGAAGGAGATTAGATTATCCGGAACGCTATTTCGGTACGTGGAACAGTGTACCATGTAATGTAGTACGATGTAGGATCGATAATCTATAGAAAGTGTTGAGGAACTTCAAAACTTTCTCTCATTATCAGAATCAGTCAAGGTAACATCAACTCTCTCTAGAACCGGATTAATTTTACCAAATGCCATCTTTCCAAAAAAGAAACTAAGAAGAATAAAGAACTTAAGGAATGGAGGAGTAGAGGACTGAATGTTTGAAGATGTAGAACAGGATCGTGAATATGAAATAGGGTGATAGAAATTAATGGGTCGACGAGATTATTCTCACCTGCCGATGTTTTTACTTTGTTTAATATGCAATTTTGTCATCGCGCTCCAGAAATTGATGGGTTGTCGTTCCAGAAATTGATGGGTCGACGAATTTAGTAGATTGAAATCGCGTTCCATCCTGTAGCAGGATCGACATTTCAAGCAATTCGGGGTCGGTGGAGTTTGCGATTGGGTCGCGAGGATTGGATCGCAATTGGTCCCGTTTCTGGATCGTCCGATCCGGAACGGAAAACGTAGGGGGGGAAGCGATCCTAGTAACTATGTTTTGCAACACTGATTTATAACATTATTCTTTCACATGGCATTGTACTTTCAAAACCCAAGTTATTAAGACATTGTATTTTTTTCATATATTTTAATAGAACAATGTATTTTTTTAGTTATTTTGTAATAATATATTTTACATTAACCAATTATTAAATTGTACTTTTCATTGTAACATTTTACTTTCAAAATCCAACATATGAAGACATTGTGCTTGCCTTTTTTTTTTCTGTTACGATATTTTTCTGTAAAAATTCAGATTTGACTAAAATTGGATACCAACAATAACATTATACTTTAAATTGTTTTTATTCTAAGATACTGCATTTGATATAGACATTGTATATTGAAAATCTAACAACTTATAGCATTCATTATACTCTTAAAAATAAAACCTATTAAGATATTGTACTTTCAAAACTTGTTCCAATTAAGACATTGCATTTTGAAAGTCAAAAATCTAAACCATTTATAGCATCACAGTTTCAACATCAAACCTATTAAGATATTGTATTTCCAAATTTTAAGAATGTTTGATTTTGTTTACCAATTATAGCATTAAACTTTCAACTCTTTTTCCTATTAAGACATTGAACTTCGGAAACTTGTTTGACTTTTGTAAATAATTAGAGCTGTATACTTTTAAGCTTTTCTTTTTCTGTCAAGACATTGTTTATTGGTTGTCTAATTGTTCAGAAAATGGGTCTTGTTCTAAAATCTCATCATCAACATAATCTTGGACCAAAACATAGCCTTGTTTTACATCATTGATTTGTGTTTCCAATTGTTCATGACTTCTCCTATTGAAAGAGACTATAACACTTGACAAGTTAATTTCATCTACATCAATAACTTGGGAAGAGTGACATGCAATGTTTAAGTCAAAGTCCAATTTTTACCTGCAAGAACTTCTTCCTGTTTTTTTGGTTCTTTTGTACTTATGAGATGGGTCATCTATAATTTCTTGTATTGTAATTTTGACTCATGACATAAATGGATGTGTTTTTCCATGTTCGATATATACTTTTATCTTTTTAACCTTACCAACATACCTAGATAGAGTCCACATACAATCCAACTGTACTTCAGGCATGCAAAAGTGGTAATATATAAGCTCTTTATTGACATACCTTATTTCTTTCATCATCGTCTCAACCTCGTTAAATTAAATCTCTTCAATGTTCACATAATCCATGTGCGCCACTTTTCCATTTACATACTTTTTTCTTCCAGGTGCTTTTGAAAAGAAAAAAAAACACCATGATGGATTCACATTGTAAAAAAAATCAACACCATTAACACTCACATACCCTAAACAAATAGGAGTTAAGCTCATATGTAAGAATATAGTACAACTTACGCTGCTCTTTCTTCAAATCCACTTTAGTTGTTGAAGTTCACATGATGATTTTGTTTATTTCCAATACCTTGCTCTGATCGGTTGCAAGCTCTTTTGAAGAAGACATGTCGAATTCAGAAGAAGAGTGTTTTCTTGGGAAAAGCTGGTAAATATAGGTTAGTAATTGAATGTGTAAATCATAGCCATAATTACTAGGTTATCATTGTATGTAGGGGTTTTATTCCTCGGTTTAATCGGTTATCAGTTAGTTCATTCGGTTTGGTGTAATCGTTTTTTCACTTATAAAATATTAACCAAAACCGAAGAAAATAAGGTTTGGGTAAATCGTTTTCAGGTTATTTTGAAACTTATGAAAACTATAAATGTGCATATATGCACATTACAAAATAAAACGCTGTTTTTTATTGTTATTATAGTGTCACCGGCTTAGACGATGACCTAGGGGTGGTGTTGTGATGTGGGTTTTGAAAATTTTGGGCTTGAAGAAAAGTTCTCAAGTAAATATTAGTTCTCAAAAAAACTTTTAATTTTATTGGTATTTAGTCATTTCTTTTTTGTACATTATATACCATCTAATCGAAACTGTTCACATATTACTCTTATAACCTGCAGCAGTCGGTCGCAAGAGTAAAATGTGAACAACTTTAACAAGTTGGATGATATATGATGTAAAAAAGCCTAAATGTGAAGAAAATCAATAGTTCGTTACCATCATGAGTCATTTCCTCTAATTATTAAAGCTTACGGCGACAAGACGTTAGGATCACAGAAGGGGTAGGGAAAAGACTGATATACCCTCGTATGCAAGGAACATGAAGTCGTGTAGATTTCTAACAAAATTAAATGTACCATAACAGATGAATTCAGAAACCATGAGGATGTTTGGTATCAATTTCTCAAAACTATGACCATACTTGTAGAAATATGCATACCTCAGGACCAAAGTTGTAATTTATTCCAAAAAAATCAAATATCCTTTGGCTTTTGTTCATAAAGTAGAATGGAATCACTGCGCCGTTGGCGCTGGAATTAAAATGCACAACGGATTTGCATAAGACTTACATACCAACATAACAACAAAATATTTATAGCAACAGATTTCTTGCATAAGGAGAGTTACATACCAACATAATATTTATAGCAAAAGATTACTTGCATAAGGGTTACATAGCTACATATTGTTTATTTATAGCAGAAGATCACTAAATAGATAAACATATTACCAGGTCATCATTGATCCTATAGATAGCAGGTTCATCAGTATCACCAACTTTGTGGTGTCTAACATTCACAGCCTGTTCACATTCAAGAAAAACAAAAATATAAACTGAAACATTAAAAAAATGGAAATAAGTATTAAAAAGTATTTGATATTTTACCTTTAAATGGCCTGTTTCATGGGAAACCCATTTGTTAATGTCGGTAGGAAACTGTGCATTGCCAGATTTTGCATTTCTATTATAAATTTTGTGTCTTTTTTCCATTAGATGCAAGATGGAATATTATAATTATATTATTAGTACTTTAGAGAAATACACTTACTTATTCGAGCTTCCTGCATTTTTCACTGGTGAGTTAAAGAATCTACATAACATAACATAACATCCGGTTAAATTTCAACCAAATATATAAAATGGTTACAAAGTTTGGACACAAAACTGTGAAATATTCCATAGTTGTTGTTGAAGAGATCTAAAGATCCAGAGAACACAATCCTTGTATTATTTCTTGCCTACAATATCAAAAGAAAGATTATTAGAAGGTTTCTTTATGCTTTTTTGGAATCCTTTTCCCAGTTACTCAATTTTTATATTACTAAAAAAAATAACATATTTTTAAGTGTGTATGTGTGTTGGTGTTGGGGGGGGGGGGGACCTGAACAACTGAAACAAATGAGATTGAAGACCTACAGAGGGAATGTAGAGTTAACAGCTTGGACTTTGGATTAATAGAATAGGTTGATGGAGAAGCTGAAAGAACTTTCAAAACCTGTAAAATGAGTCAAAGGGTAAAAGGGTCATATTCATATACATCCCTAACTCACAAGCCAACCAAATACACGTTGAATATAATCACAATCAATAAAAGATAATAAATACAAATGAGAAATCACAAATTCAAATTCCTACCTCCATGAGATTAATTCAAGACAACAATCAATCGATTAAAAGATGGTTTCCAAATGATAAAGATTAACACACTCATAATTCCAAATGAAGACAATTACATATTCTAAGAATTATTCAACAAAATTTTTAATTCCACAAAAACAAATAAAGACACAGTGAAGACATAATTCATAATTCTATTCATCATATAACTTCATTAACTGACCTTATTCCCTTGAATGCTTAGAACATTATTGAATTTTAATAAAAATCCATAACATAACAAAACTATGAATAAAGATTAGTTGGATTGTATAGTCTCTGTCTACTCCTCCCTTTTGATTGGTTGGCAAGTAACAACAATTGTTAGGTGATGAGATTCAAAGGCCAAAGGAATTAATATTATTAGTGACAAATCGATTAGGATACATGGTGTACAGGCGTTTATCTGATGTCATAAATTTTAAACAAAAAATATATTTTCATGGAAGAAGGAAGAACCGAAAGGGAGAAGCTAGATGAAGACGAACCCTCTCATCACATCTGACTGCTTTTCCCTCCATAGGTCCGACAATATGTATAAGCCCCTGTTATCACCAGCAAAATCAAAATAATTAAAGCATCACGTTCAAGTGAAGCCATAAGAAAACATGGATATTGAAATAGAAGGCGTGTTGAAGCGGGGAAGAAAGCAAGAAACCTTAAGTTTCTTCGATTGAGATTTTGCTACGGCTGTGGATATCAGACGGTTATTTGTTAACGCCTCCTTCTCCGGCGATCACCAAAGCAGTTCCATGAGCAGTTCAGGAAAAAAAACATCTCCCAAGAGTTAGAAGCAACGGAGGATCAAGGTGGAGAGAAGCCCTAATCGAGGAACAGGAATAGAAGATGGTGGAAGAGATTTATTGTACCGACATAAGTATAAGCGATGACGTAGGTGGGAAAGAACGGTCGAACGTCGGCAAGAAATGGAACAGAAGAATCTCCAAAGATGATGGGCGGCAACACAACAATGAAAACAGATAAGAAGCGAAGATAAGAACGGAAAACCTTATGGCGGTTCGTGAACTTCCGTGTGAAAATACGAAAGTGGAAAAAAGTTCAGTGCACACAATCAGAAATACAATACAACTTCCGTGTGAAAAGATGAAAAAGAAAAAAAGTTTACTGTTCCCCAAGCTTTTAAGCTTTTATGTTATATATAATATCAACATATAAAAAAAAGAGAGATCAAGAGAAAAAATTAGTGGATTTAATATATTATGTTATATAGATAGGAACATGAATAAATAAAAACAAAAGATAAAAAATCTACTCTAATAAATAAATGTTTTTTTTGTTATATGTCACACTCTTATTCAATTTGCCAAATGTCATTTTGTGGTTATTTTGAATTAATTTCTTTTCCACATGTTATTTTATGAGTTTTTTCTATTTTAATAAATTCCATATAATACTTTAATGTAATAATTATCGTAAATGTCTACTCTAATAAATGAAGGTTGTTTTGCAACATGTGACACTCTCATTCAATTTGCCAAATGT